GAGAGAGAGCAAAGGAGAAAACATTAACGTCATCATTTTCCATTAAATATGCAATTTGAACTTTTTCCATTTAATGTTCATTTTCTCATTTGCTGGTGCCGTTCGTTCGTTATTTTTAATTTTTGTGCGCGCATATTTGTTTGTTTGCCGAGATCTTTGCATACCTTATTTCACTCACATACTGTGTGCGACGTGCACTCATTTGGCATTTTAAAATGATATCGCGCGCACACATACACACAACGAACATTGATTATATCGTGCAGATATACGCGTGCAGTAACACAATTTTTCACACTTTGAACGTTTTATTTTATGTGCTGCGAAAACTTTTGCATGCACTTCATGTTTGAGTTTTTTTTTTTCGATACATGCAGAAAAAAAGCAACACTTCAAACGATATGAACAAACATAAAAGGGTTCGTATGCAATTCGAATCATGAAAAAAATTGTCTTTTATCAAAGTGTAAAGTTAGATATCTGTATGCCGTGTACAGTACACGATAAAAATGCAAATAAATGCTATGGCTGATGGTGCCAAAGCTCTGGTTAAGGTTAAAAACTATGTATCACCACGAGTAAATGTATGAAAATCGCAAGCTCTTTATCTTAAGTTTTGTCATGCATACAAACTGTTAAAGCAGCTATTGTTTAGCAATCTTGTTTGAGTTCAAGGATTTTGAAATAAAACTCGCGACGATTCGATTAAGACGATGGATAATAAACGATAGCAAAGTGAGTGACATAAGATGGATGGCTGCAACCCTGAAAAATGAGTAGAAAAAACACCATTTGCGATTGCGTAATGCGCCCCCAAAACGATGACACTAATTCATGTGAATGTCTGGTGCAATCTATGAATTCACCTGAGGATAACGAATTGCCTTTTCAACTGATCAGATATATTGAATTTATGGATGGCTTTTCGTATTTAGAAAATTGCTACTCACCTTGATATCAACATCTCTCCATGTGCTTCCTTCACATCGCTTGCTTTCGCTAACAATGATCATTATTCCATAAAATATTTACTTACTGCGTTACTTGTGTGCATCTCTCATTCATTTATCGTTTTTTTTTTGCGCTCATTCAAAACATTTGAAACCATCCATTTTTTTCGCTTAAAAAAATAAATGGATCGGTAGCTATTCGACTCTTTTATAAATCAATCCAATCAACGCCGGAACAAATATGGATAATTCATGTGTACAACTCAAAATCTCTATTCCCTTGGATGTATTTGCGACTATAAAGCAGAAAAACATATCGATGCTACTAAGTTTTTCAGTAATTTTCTCTCCCTCTCAGTCTAACTCCGATGAATTTTGTTCTCATGCTCATTCCATTTGAGTAAATTTCTTTACTTCCTTTGGATTTCATGTTTTCCGATTGAACAGTCGTGAACCAAAGCACTCATGTTGATGTGGGAACATTTGCCATTATGTGTGAGAGACTTTGAGCCGACTTGAAATAAGCTTTTGCCTTCAGTTTTGATTGTAATGTGTTTTTCAGTTCGTTGTGTGCAATTTTCAATCGCCGGCATGCATCTCAACTGTATTTAACGGAACGTGCTGTCGATTCGTGATTTGGGTGTGAGCGTTTTCGGCGTACTTACAAATCGTGTATTGTTTTGCATTGATCCGTATCTTTTCACTGGCATTTCCACATGCAGCGCCACCGTTTCATTTTTTATTGAAATTTAATGTAGCTGAAAGTACTATAATCATAATAGTTTTATGTTGTGTTGTTGAGATGTCATCACATCCGTGAACACCACATTTCATTGTTGCTCTTCATTTATTCGTTTTAACGTGGCTGTGTCAAAACTATGAAATAGCATTAAATGAAACGTTTTCCATTAGTTTGACTTGTATGATTATTAACAAAATCGGTTTTCAATAGTAAAAGGTTTTCAATTCAATATATTGGTACAGCAAATGATGACGATGAGCATTTAGCTTTTGGCATCGATACATATGCTAACAAATGATTAAATTATGGTGCTTTCACATTATTCATTGCCCTTTCAATTTCTTAATGGATATTTTATGTAAAATCATTTAAATAAACTAAAAGTGATCGGAGCTACTGAAACATCTTGAAATAACGATTCCACATCGCTCGACATTAAATGTAATATTTGTAAGTCAATTGAATTGGTCTATAGACGGAAAGTTAAATGCTCGTCGTCAATATCAATATAAACGTGGTATACTTCAACCCACATACATAATTCACATGAGTCAGATCAAATGCAAAGGTAAAAACAGTACACAAATACAGTACACGTTTATCGGCTATTTAAATCCAATGGTTTGACATACCAAATTGGAGTTTTCCGTTCGTTTCGGCATCATGTCCATCTATTGGTTAAATGATTGAGAATTTCTGTTCTCTTTTTTTACGCTATCCCCCACATTTAATAACGAATTTTACGTTATCGTGTTGCGCGCCGATGATATCTATCGTTCGTTTGCCATGTGAACCGGAAAGTCAATGAGTCCATAAAGCATAAGCATTAAAATGGGTACTGGTACAACGATGCATGTATGTGTGTATGACCTCGACGTCGATTAAAATGAGATACTGAGAGCGAACGGCCAAAAGTGAAAATGTTTTAAGCAAACGAACACCATGGTTTTATGCGCGCTAAATTTCTAACAGAGTGTTGAACAATTCATGCAAGATATAGGAATGGAAAATCGACCACAATTCCATACTCAACCACTATTTATGTTCCTAGTTGTGGTTATTTAATATTCATAATTTTCTTTCGAGCGAAATATTGTGTGGTATATGCGTGTTTTCGCCGTCACAAGAAACATCAATGTGTTTGCTTTTGTATTATTATTTTTTAAAAATAAATACATTTCGCGCGTTTAATCTCTACATGTTGTTGATTCGCGCGTCACACGGACTATTATTAGTGTTTTGTGTAGCGCGCATTTATCGTTCATGTTTAATGCATGACATTCAATTTCGATATATATATGAATGTATACAGAGACAGTGGCAAGATTTTCTGATTTAGACATTCATTTGAAATGGCAAGCGTTTTGCAAATATAGCACTAAAAGCACTAAATAATATGGTAGACAGACGATAAAAAAGGGGTGAACGTGCACACAGTCAAAATAATAATAATAATACTGTAGTCTACAATAAAAAAACATTGAAAAGGTATATAATTTCAAAATCTAATCATTGAACATTGGCAACGACGACGGCAACAAGAACCCCATCATTTTTATTTACCATTCTTTTTTCGCGTGTATGTGTTTTTTTTCTTTATATTTTTGATTGTGTTGCTTGCTGTCGCACACAATTTAAAATGACATAGTAAAATGCAGTGATTTGGAATGCGAATCACTGCACAATTACCACGACTGTGCTGTTATTATTGTTATTATGGGTGAACAAAGGCGAATAGAACGAACGAATAACTGAAATTTATGCATAAGTTTATGTTGTTAAAAGCGATAAAGATAACCATGACGCGCGAGCAATGCCAAAACGCCATTAAAAATCTACTTTCAAAATGTAGAGAAAAATGAAATGAAATGAAACAACAACAAAATAGAAAGCAACAACGAAAAACGAAACAGCAATAATAACGAGAAAAAAGAGAGGAAAAAAAGGCGAGCAACTACTGATATTGAGTTTGATGCAAAGAATTGCATTTGGCAAATACAGAGAGCGATTCGTACAATATGGACGTGTGCATTCGATCGTAGTGTTCGTGTGTTGCAGATCGCACTACAACCACATTCATACTAGGCAAACTATAACGCTTTGGGTGCTAAACAAAACGGAATATTTTAGCGATTAAGCGTAAAATTTATTATTGTCGGTGGTTATGATTGCTCGTCGAGTAATTTGTTCCACTCATTCCCCCGCCGGCACCTCTTTTTATTTCACCCTTGTACAAAATGTATATTTCCATAATTTCATGCCATCACAGTTCACCAACCGACCATCTGCCTCCACCCGCGCTTAACAACACTTTGGACATTCTGGCTACGACACTAATTCATATTTCAATGCACTTTATACTTTTATGATTTGACCACTTACGATGGCTGATTTTATTTAACCAAATCAAAGCCTTTGTACACACAGAACGAACAAGCTCGCTTTATCTCTCTCCCGCGCACATACATTTAAAATTAACGAATGCATCCGCAATTATGGACAACAACATATTATCAATTTGTATGTTGATCTCCTGTCGCGTTCATATCATGTCGTGCTCACATGTCAATGCATTGGTAATGTTCCCATGTTTTACAATATTCACAATTCGAATGAACACGTATAAAAAGTGAAACTAATTACTTTATATATGTGTGTGGATTTCTATTTAATTTTATTGGCGCCACTCTGCATAACTTTAAATCATAAAATCATCGTGTATGCGCCTACATTCTATTTTTATGTATTGATTATGGGGCATTTTAATCGAATTAGATAGATGCTTTATTTCCATATATTGATGACCAAAACTGACCTGCCTCTTTTTTCTCGCACAAACTTATTGTAATTGCCGACACACATATTGCATGGTGTGTTCAACTGTACATACATATCTCATGTTTCTCCTCTGAAATTAAGGGGTGAACGACCAGAGCTTTCCAATATATTCCATCCACTTCTTCGACGGCTTACTTGGCTGAGACTGAATGAGGGGAAATATTTTGAAGAGCTCGCATTTTCAAGCACTTTTCCTTGCATTGTTTCTCCACATTCACTTAAAGAACCCCCTTTGAAGTAGCTTTATGAATGTTGTGCTAGCAAAAATCAAAATAATTTAACATCTTGCCGACAAAAGCCGATACCGTACGAACACGGTATGTATTTTTACTCTGACAAACATCAGGGCATTCGATGGTGCCGCATAAAAAAATGTTTTCCAGCCGCATCAACTGGTTCGTTATGCTTGTAACTTTGACTCTATTGCAAAAATATTCACATGCTATCGTTTCGTCAGTTGTACGGAGACTGTCAAGGAGTAAACACATAGCTGATGTGCGCAGCGATTTGAAATTCGATTGTGTAGTTTTACGCTATTACAAGTAAAATCATTTTGACAACCGAATAGGAAAGCGAATTAGTTTGTGTGAAAACAAACGGAAATCGGTTGTTTTGTAAAGGATAAAATTGTATTCGATTTTTAAATTCAGTTGAAACAATCCAGCAAACAAAAAACACGTTCCGAATTTATTGAGTTTAATCCCGTTGCGGATATTTCAATAAATACGACAAAATCGAAATAATAATTGTTCAATCCGATTTTAATGGCACAATCGATGCTCGGACAAATTGTGTGAAAAAAACAAAAACCGAACGAAACAAAAACTGTGTTGAAATCCGAATAAATTGTTATCGAGTGCTGTACACCTGTTAGATTAGAGATCAAAGTATTATTGAGCAAGCTGACAACATCAATACAATTAGCGCATTAGGTAATCAACATTACTGACTATATGGTAGCAGTTTGAATCTTTAATTGCAACTACTTTAATATCGCATTCAAGAAATAAACGATCGCGCTCAACTAAAAATACACATCATTGTTGTCAATTGTGCTATATAATCGAGGTTTTGCATGTCACGTAAAATGGCCGAATTAAAGTAAAATCATATTCACCACGAGTGGTAAATAATTGGTATTTTGTTGTGGACATTGTGTAACATTAATACCCGTATACGCGTATGTATTACATTTGAAAATTCGTTGACAAAGTTAATGTGAATAATAACGGTGATGATGTTAGCTTGTGTTATTATTGTTTTTGTTAAAGGTAGCGCACGCAGTGAGAGTTAATCGACGGAAATATGAACAATGTGCTGAGATTAAAGTTATAAATCAAGAAAATACATCAAAAATTAAGACAGAAGGAAAAAAAATCATATATCGAACGAAAAACCATAAAATGGAAACACAAATTCGGAAATTGAGCACGATATCCGTTTCATTGAATATACTTTTTGAAAGTTTGAATAACTCGTAATAATGTGTTCAACAAACGAAAATATTAAAAGCACTTAATACACACAACAGACGAAGCGAATCATAAATTGATAAAGTTTGACCGTTGAAAATTTGAGAGCAGTTTGTGTGCGTGTGTGCGCGTGTGTGAAAAAGGACACCAGTGAAGTAATCGAATCTATTGGAAAAGTTTGCTGCGAAGTCAAATGTTGGTCAGTTAATTGAGTATAATAGACAAAATTAAATGGATTTTCTCGCATTTATGTGATCATTATTGGACATAATATACGGTTAAATCTAATGAAAACTTTTACACGTGTAAATCACATTTTGACGAGTGAAACGTAATTCAGTTTATTGCGCTTATTTTTCTCGGTTTTACTAAATTATATTGACGTCGCGACGATTTTATTCGTTGACTGTGCTCTCATTTTTATTTGAGCAAACTATTGTGGCGCCGGATTCCCGTGTGATTTTGCATCGATTGCCGTGCATCAAGCGAAACTAAATTTATTGCTTTGTGATTTGTGTCTCTCTGTCGAGACTTGATTTTTTTGGTCATTTGAATTGTCCAAGCAATATTAAAATTGAAGCCGTCTACAGCCAACGCACGTCATTGAACCGGTGCAAGTGTATGTGTATTTTGTGGCTATTAAACTCTGCGTGATGTTTTGTAGCGTTCCGCATGTGATTACCAATGCGTATTGCACGATAGTCGATCATTAATTATTGTCATTCGCACAATCGGCCCTGTCGTTAGACTGAAACAATTCATACATAATTGAACCGATACATAAATATTGTAAAACAAACCAATTGATGTAGTGCAATTGATTTAGTTTCGTTGATGTATTTGCACTTCGAATTAACAGAAATTTTGTGAAATTAATGCTCAACTAACCATTCACATATTGTGTGCTTGGGTAAGTTTTATTTGAACTGTGGTAGCTTCGTCCTGAATTGTTAGACATTTTCAACGGTCTTATGTGGTGCGTGGCAATTGAATAAACATTTGTTGACACCTCCAAAAGAAAATTAGTGCGTAGTATAAGCAAATCGGGTTGTTATCAACCACCAAATAAGTAATTATTTACTGCGTGCATTGGTAAACAGTCAACAAAACAGTGGCCATACAGTGGCCCATTAAATTGAAACCACAACGCTGAAACGGAAAGCCGGGCAGCAAACCCCATCAGATAACAGGTGAATAGAATGCACACACTATTGTGCGAAAAGCCCATCTCGACCATAGACAAAAGGCTAACACAGTTTCAATAGATCAAGCGATTTAACGTGTCTATCGTAGGCACTTTTTCCTTTTGAAATACGTGCTAAATATCAACTGAAACCAATAAACAATCGCTTCATTCAACGTGGCAGAGGAACTTTTTATCTTCATTACTATTGTGTTAAATATTCACAACTAATTTCGAGAAGAAAAGTGTTCAAACAAAAAAACACTAAAATTGGTGCTTCAGTGAAATTGTCGCATTAAAAAAAAAAACAAATTCTGATTAAAGATATATTAACGAATCCGAAGCGAATCAACGACGAAACAAAAAAAAAGGTACGAACTGACAACGTTGGCAAAACCACGATTCAGCTGAACATTTGTTATTTCGCATAATTTTCGGTTTTTGCAGCTGTTAAATTTTTTCGACAAGACAGCGGGCAAAAAGCCAGCTCCAAATTCGAACCAAATGACAAAATTGTGAATGATACAAATAAAAAAAAGAGGAACTGTATAGAAAAATATTCGTTCAACGATTTTATGAAATAACTGACATTGGCGCAAAAACAAATAACAAAAAATCAACGCCGAATAAAAACTGCATACGAACAAAAGTGAGTGATTTTTTTCCCATCCATTTCGTAATGTGTGTGCGAGTGATTTAATCCATTCATGCGATCTTTTTTTAGTTCTCGCATTGATGATAAAAACAACAATGGTTATTTATTATCACTGGTTGGGACATAAAATAACAAAGAATTGCGTTACGGCGACAGATCAAAGAATCGATTGCATCGAACATTACAGAAATTATATGAATAGCTTCATTGTCAATTCATTTGCACAAGAGCAACGCGTATAATCGATAACGTGACATTTTGAATGGAAAGCCTGACACATTGTCGATTAAATCCATACGAAAATAAATAAGACGAACAAATTCCGGTGGAAATTTATGCATTCAAAAGACAAGCATAACAAAAAAAGAAGAATTATTATTGTGAGTCGAGTGTGTTCGTAATCAAAATATAATTGCACGGCAACTGACAACACTAAACGTAAGAACACATTGAATGTGTATGTGCGCAAAAATATCGATTTGCGGATACGACTGCAATTAATTGCATTTTAATTGTAGAAAGAATTGGATTTGTTACGCCGAAAATTCTATGGAACTCGTTGAATAATAACTGAATTAAGGATAAAAAGAGATTCGAAAAAGAAGAGGAATTTAAATAAAGTAATACCGATAAAAACGTGCGATTTATCGCGTGTGCATTCAACATAAAAAAAATTTCAATATTCAATGACTTTATTTATGATTTGTCGATTTTAATACAGTCTTTCAAATACATTTATAAATATTGATTTGATTGCTCAATAGGCTTCGATATTTTTCAGGCCAACTGAAAACGTGTAGCAAACGGAAACCAATTTTCATCATTTCCGTGAAAAAAAATTCCATTTTTTTTGTTTCGAGGGTGAAAATGTGTTCATTACGAAAATAGTTGTGGCCATTTTTTTAGCGCAATGCCGATTTATATCATTAACACCGAATTTTTTATGAAGGGCTCATGCGCCGATTCTGTCGACAGGAAAACGACATTTTGAACGCTTTGTTAAATTACTAGTTACTGTTAAGGCAAAAATAAGCCCATCTCTCCCTTTCGAAACAGGGAGAGAAAAAAAGACGTGAAAAAGATCGTTTGTCGACACACCAAATAGGTGCACACAAAAACGAGCAAAGTCATTGTAAGTCAATCCATCGAAAAACGATAGCTCAAAAACTTTTGTGGAACAACCAAACGCCAATATTCAGTAGAGAGACAATTACAACTCTAGCACAATACGGTGAATAATTCAGACCACGGCAAAAGTGAAATTCTATCGCTGAGAGGCGGTACCAAACAGAAACTTTATTTTTATCATTTTGAGATTAATTCATTCTGAATGTTGAACGTCTAAATATCGATGGAGTAGGAATATTTAACGCTTTGGAAAACAATCCAATATATATGTATGCATAGATTTTTATGAAAGTATGATAATGCACAATCTAAATGTGGCCTGTAACTGTCATTTTATATTAAGCTAAATACATGTGAATTGACTATATTAGCAAAAGTAAAAGAAAACATAACTGACTTGAAAATACATAGACATTTAGTGAAATAACAAACTGAAATAATATCACTGTCAGAATATTTCTCTCAACAATCAACGTTATACGTCGAAACAGCGTCAACATTTTTTCTTTGCTTCAAACGTAAAAAGAAGCAAACCAAGAATATTTCCCAACACACACAGTGCAATTATATAATGGATATGGATTATTACATTGGAGCGTTTTATATACATTTGGTGCTACTACTGGCTGCGGGTAAGTAGAAACAAAAGCATACACATTCCTCGTAATGTAGAAACATTCCATTCATATTTATGGGGTAAAGTTTTCTCGAAACACATACACCAATTTCAACAGCAATATCGCATCGCAGCAGTGGCAAGTGCTAATGCCGAAATAGACACAAATTGGAATTGGTCTGCGATATACACACAGCGAGAAAGATATAAAAAAGAAACGAAGTTTCGACTTTTAGTTTATTTTTGTCCATTTAATATACGGTTAGATTATGCGACAATTGGTAAGAAATGAATAGACGTTTAGTATTGTGCGCTTTGCAAAATTGGAATTCGAATCAATGCGTTTTTTTTCTTTCTATCTGTTTCGGAGTGTGTGTGTGTACGTAAAACGCCACATGCACTTCATAAATTATAGCATTTTATTAGCGGCTAAATCATCGTAAAATCGTTTAATTTTCTCAAAAGTTAAGTAATTCATGGCCCGAGTTCGGTTTTTATTCTTTCGCATCCATTTAGCGACTGGCATTGTTGGTCCAATTTAAGCGTATATAAGAACGCATATCTGGAATGATTTGTGGCATCGTTTTTCGGCGGTCGAAGAAAACCAACTTGCAGTAAATTCACTCTTTTATTATCCAATTTTCGAATGGAATTGGTTTAGTCCATCACCACAAATGCACTGAGCATTTAATAATAAAAACGACAAAGAACTTTCGGATTATTTTTCAACGAAAAACCATACCTCGCACGGAATTTACCGTTCTTACAGAACGATCGAACATTGATGATTCTCGAAAACCTTTCAACATTGACACCGTAACTAGGTAACGAATGGTTGTCAATGGAATCATGAAACAGTAAAAAGATGATTTTTCTTGCTAAGAAGATTCTCGTTAATTCAGTTTTGGAAATAATTTCATTGGCTAGATTCTTGCTATTTTTACTTATTCTTCTTGCTGGACGCAATAGGATTAGGATTTAAGCTAATTCTAAGAATGCATTAACCAAGCTCATAATCTGAAATGTAGCTCGATTTTTGTTTAAAGACTTTAACAAGTATTTTTTATTAAGGGTTGAAGCAAAACTTATGGAATTCCTAGAAAAATGGAGTCCATGGAATGAGAATAATTTTCAATTTAATATTACTTCGTATAACCGATAACAATTTCATATTTAATCCAAAAAATTCTTTTAATTTTTTTTTTCTTTTGTTTTGATTTTAAAATTGAAGACCTTTTTTAGGTCACCTTTTTTTTGAAAGGGAGAAATTTTTCCGATTTGCTAGGGATTTTCGAGCTGGTTTTTAGAAGTCGAATTTTTCCCCAGTCAAATCAAAAACCTTTTTTTGTACACTAGATAAAATTGATATTTTTGCTTAAACCTCTCGATTTTTTCCCATTGGCCGCCCTTAAATGTCTGCTTTGCTAACGTATTTTGGTTAGTTCGGAGAATCCAGGTGATTAAGAAATACAGTTGTTGTCTGGTGATCACAGTAACACTTACATAGCGAGGAGTGGTTTCATGTTCTGAGCAAATGATCAACATAAAATAACAGAATCTCGGTCTCTGGAATTAAGGTTGAATTTGAACAAGTAGTATTATCAGAAAATCGCTTAAGAGCCTTTGTTTCTATGTTTAGATTTTCTTTTTAAGAACAACAATTTTCTTCTCGTATTTTCGCTACAAGGTTTTATTTCCTTTGCATTTTATTTCGCATGTTGTTCACACAAAAAATAAGCCATTAATTCGAAATGAATTTAAAAGTTTTTCCCGGGTGCACCTGATGGAATTTGGACCAAAACCAATATAAATAGTAATGCACAATACCGACAATGTGTCGCAGAATCTAGTACAATGAAAGCCGCACATATTCATTAACACTAAATCTATTTTAATGAATTCAATTACGAAACTTAATCATTTTCAATTCGTTAGAGCGAATGGTGAATGGAACTTTTCGTTACGTAACATTGCAAAAAAAAGTTGAGTCATAGCGGTGAGTGCTATAGTGTCATGTGGCCACAATTTGTGGAAAACAGCACTTCATCTGACACACACACATTTTCGCCGTATATAAAAGAATCGGTACATTTCAGGTAACAAACTCATTGGTGCTATTATTTTTATCTGTTTTGTATGATCGAGAGGCGACAAAAAGCATCTAAACAAGCGCATTTGCTCGAAATTGAAATGGAAAACCAGGACGACCACCCTAATAGATGAAGTTTGTTGATGATTGTGTTAACCACACAAAAACTTTAGCCTTCAAAGTGTATTTGAAAAATTTCATTTTATGTTCTACTGTGGTTTGCCTACACTTTTTTCTATCTCTAGCTCACTCAATTCATTTTCGCTCTATGTCCCTTTATATGCGTTTTTGTGAGTATGTGTTCTATCTGGTTCGTTAAGCACTGCTGTTCCATTTGGTTAGAGTTGTAATGCTTGAATCCATTCGACTAAAACTTTTCGACACAGACATTTTTTTTTTTTTTTTTTTTTGAAAAAACATTGTACAACTTGTGCTTACTCGTGGCTTCATTTTGAATTCACCACAATTGCGAAAAAAAAACTAGTACAATTCACTTGTTGTTTCACATTTTGCACAATTGTTTTATACAGACTACTCTCTTAAACCTTACATCCGTTTGCCGGAAGACACACAACAATAGGGTTAATTTTCTGTTAAATCATTTCGTTTTTTTTCTGTGTGTGCACGTTCACTAAAAACTTTTGCCCACTCACACACAAATCAATACGATCTGGAAAACTTTATTCACTTTTTTTGTTGGCTTATTTAATTAAAATATTTGGATCACAGAGAAATCAATGTTACTTTTTTTTAAATTATTTGTAACTTTGGATTTGAATCAACGTTAATTGAAGTTGATTTTAAATTGAGCAAATTAGATATGTGATTGGAATTTGGCAGTGAACAACAAAAATTTATTACCATTTTTATGGAAACAAAACTAAAATGGTTTGACTTGAATGATAAATTGATGGTTGGTATAATATTCGTTATCGTCTCTCTGTTTGTTTGCATAAACAAGTTACTCGAATCATGTAGTCTTTTTTTTCATGAAGCTGTCAATTTTCAAACCAAATAAATTAAATGTTATCGAAATAAAACGAACTTTTTATTCACCATTCTGTTTTCTGTTTCCGAAAATTCGATAAAAACAGCACAAATCGATATTAATTTTCAAACAAAAAAAATGCTTCGTCAAAGTCTTCACCGAATCAAAAGATATGAATCTAAAACGAACGGGAAAAAATTGGTTTTATATTTCGGTCATTTGGTATCGATGTCGCTTTGTCGAATAGCGGAGACATAAACATTTTATCAGTATTGCTTTTAATGTGGCGACCACTGAAAGCATCCGGAGTGCCTATCACATAATAATATAGAAAAACTACAGGCCTCTGATAACAATTTTAATATATTTCGCCTTTGCACGCAACCAATTCGTTTGTCGTCTGTCACGCGACTCTCTATATCTATAGCCTTTGCCATATATATGTCGGAGTCCGTTGTGTTCGCAAATCGGCTTTCGACGACTCGGAACAAACAGCCGAGGAACAAAAAATAAAATTCCAGCAAACTCTGGCCAAAATACGCTATACATAACTCTCTATCAATTATCAGAAGCTTAAACTAAAAAAAAAATAGAAAAAGACAAATCAGACAACGGATTCGTCGATATGAATTACAACTGGCCTGTAGCGATTGTACATTTCAATGAGACATAACCTTCGGCATTTGTCAAATCGGACTATTTTGTATTGCCCAAATGTTTCGTCTATTTTCGATTATTATGTTAAAATTATGGGCTAAGCTTTAAGCTTTAACTCACACTTCACACGGAAAATGTCACTGTCCTTTAGGCTGTCATTTAAGTAGTTTTATATTTTTTATAGCAATCAAGAGTTAGGTATTACCATACATTTTTGAAGCGATGATACTATTTCAAGCATATAAGGCGTTATATTATTGAATCAGAAAGATAAATTCAAATAAAAACGTTAGTCACATCACGAGGTAGAAGAATATTTTATTCAATATATTTCTGTTACCTATTTCATCTCTCGCTTGAATTTCAAATTTTATTTTCCATGAAAAAAAAATCCGCTTTTTTCAACATGAGTTTTTCGCAAATAGAAACTAAAAAAAACCTGTTATTTGGTTTGGTGAAGCAAAGTCAAATAAAATATTCAAAGCTACTGAAATAAAAACAGGAAAAACGGATAAAAAAATGAGTGCCAAAGCAATAGAATAGCAAAGTATCAGACAATGCAATTAAATTATCTACCCAATAGTCTTTATTGTATTTGCAATTACATTCAATTCAATGAAAATAGAATTTAGACAGATTGCTAATTTTGAGCGAAAAACGTTATCGAGCATAAAATATAGTGATTTTGTTAGATTTTGGTTGATTTTTTCCATCCATTTCGATGTTTTTTGTTTATGTACCAACGATTGAAAGAACACATTTAATTATTTAAATGCAGCCGAGATGAAATAGTGATTGTATACATATACAACAAAAGCAATTCAATTCGACCACACGCAATGCACGCTTCAATGAGAGAAAACAGTAAATTTTCCCATAACCCAGTAACAGCCAGACAGTGGGGCCTTCATTCATTTTTTGTTGGTGTTTATTTTGTTGTTTGAATATATAATTATTACATTGGAAAAAAATTACTGGTTAAAAGTTGTTGGTTTGAATGAAATAATGCTGAATTTGATCAAAAAACGAAAACAGGCGGTTGGGATTGTTTGGTAAAATCAACAAAACTTCACAAAGGCTCAAAGAACATGATAAGAAATAGATGAAAAGAGCAAACGTTCACCAGATACTTGTAATCCACTTTATACCATAGAAGGACCTCCATATCATTTTAAATGCATAAAAAAAGATACACAGTGAGTACGTGCTCAATGGAGCACATGTGAGAGAGTATCAAGTTGAACCTGAGTGCTTTTCGGGACCAATATGTACATAATATATT